ACCGCAAACCGCAAAAACTCCCTTGCAACAAAATTTCTACAAAGACTAGGTAAGGTTCTCTCCCTTCCCACGACCAAGCAGGACCCTTTGGTGAGACTCTCTGAACGATGCTGTGCTTTGAAGCCAAACCTCCCTTTTCGATTAGCAGACGGGAGGGTGTTAGAAACGAATAATTGCGGAACAGTGCTGATAATTTGCGGAACAGTGCTGATATTGACACATATTTTATACAACGAAGAGACTGTTGTTCATCTCTCACTGACTTATCCCTCTTTATCGTGTTCCAGTTACACACCAGGGACCGGGACATGTTGTCCGCTGGGGTATCCCCAGTGGGGGAGGGGGTCGTATTCGCGCATCGCTTCAAAGGCATAAGACACGGTAATGGTACTCGGTCTAAAATGGCAGGGGGTGCCTTCAACCGAGTTGGGTGCTTGTATAGTCTCCTTTATGTACTTTCCTATACACAAACATTCAAGGCTTGGTATAGGTCGTTTTCACCGTCACCGTACTCTCGCACTATGGATCAAATTTCTCGCTCACAGTTTTATTTCGCTTGGCGGCAGCCCTTAACTTTTCCCGTGCCACCATGCCACTTGATGCGCCACGCTTTTTTCTCCTAGTTTCTTCTCATGTTTCTCATATTCTTCAGCGTTTGTCATCATTAGTTACAGCGGCCCTCGTTGTTAATCAAACGAATCTCTATGTTTAGATAACAGTTCGTCATGCAGTAAACAAAATAATCGATTAACTATCGAATGGATAACAATTGAGAAACATAGAAGATGAGCAAAATCAGTCGAATCGAACAGAAGTACCGCTTTGGTTGGCAAGTGCTCGTCCGCCTCATCAAACTCGTTCCACTGCTGTTCGCCCGACCACGATTTGCTATCGCGTTCACAGTGCTCACACTTGTGTGTGCAGTCGGAAGTACGAGCTTTACGTTCGGTTTATTCACCTCAAAGTTAACTCCTTAAGCTTTTCCTGACTTATCCCTCTTTATCGTCGTTCCAGTTACACCCCACCACCAGGGACCGGGGACATGTTGTCCGCTGGGTATCCCCAGTAGTGGGGGGTCGTATTCGCGCATCGCTTCAAAGGCATAAGACACGGTAATTTGGTACTCGGTCTAAAATGGCAGGAGGGTGCTATATGGTGGGGGGAAAATGGCGAAAAAGCGAAGTGGAACGCCAAAACCTGCTAAGAAACCTCTCTTGTACACAGCTCAAACCCGCTTCATATTAATTTCTTCGCTTCATACTGTACTTCGCAAATGAAGCGATACGAGCATCAGCATCAGTCAAACATCTGTGGGCGGGCGGGCGCGGAGCAGCGCCTGCTTACGGGCGCCGATTCCGTCCTGCTAGGCGTATTAATCCTACACCTCTTGGGGATTTATCGTGCCACTTGTCTTTAAGAGTGAGTCGGATCTGACCCTAAAAAATCTTTTCCGGGTTGTGACTTTCTCTGGTTTCTCCCGTCTCGCAAGTGCTATGTGTCTCCCCCCCTAAGACTGGAAAATTAAGAATTTGAGCAGCGAAAATTTTGCAAACATTTACCCCAGCGACAGGGCGTGCCCTTGGAGGGGCCCACCAATGAAGATGGCACAATGAGATATACTCCCCATACGGCCAGCGCGGAATTAGTTTTTCATTACAAAAGTAGAGGTCTCGCTTAGCACTTAGGCGGCCTAGACGATCTACATTATTTTAGGCCCTCCAGGCTTGCCCCCAGCCAAGTTGAGTGTCTCACTTGGCGGACACGCTTCGATCGAAGGTGAATTTCAAAATCGGTTTAGCGGATGACCCTGTTTACGCTTCTGTAGTCTTCTTGTTCGCTACAGATGGTGAGGCATCTCTGGGGTTGATTTGGCGCGGCACTAGCCTGTTTTCCATCAATTGTCGAAAGGGCAACCGACAACTGTTGGTTGGAACTGGCCTGAGGCCGCGCCAAACCCAGCCCCAGCATCCGCTACCAACGAGACTGTACCTTGACAACCTTCAAATCAGTTTTTTAGTGAATGGCTGAGTATGCGGCTCAGCCTGGAACTGGGAAAAGAAAAGGCGGCGCTAGTCCGCGTTAGCAGGAAAGTCGGCTTGCGCGAAAGACAGATCCTACCCTATGGCTTAGGAAAAGTCCTCATTCACTACAAGGCTTTACAAAATAGTTATCAATCAGATTGACAAGAGTTCATGTACAAATGCCCGGTCACAATGCGAAAAATAAGTTTCCACCCGTCATTAGTGACGTCATCTCTGCGTCTCGTTACAGTATTCGAGCAATGAGATTCAGATGAAGTGGTGGCTCAGAAATCCGGAACGGTAACCGGACGATTCTATAAGGACTTGCTTCGTCGTGATGAGAAGGCCTTCTGGAACACTTTTGCCTTGGCCACTACAATTTACGCAGGGCAATGCATGGTCAGTTTATTGAAACTTATGGCCGTTTGGGCGAAGATTTCTTCAGAAATTGGAAGGATTTTTAATATTTTTCGTCGAATTTTCGCTAGTTTGAAAGCTCATGAAGGGAGTATTCAGCTGCTCGGCTGTGTTGCATTCTTCTCGTGGTGCCTGTATCTTTGCTTCCGTAAGAACCTCGTCACCTCTCTTCATGATCTCTATTTCAATTACAACGTTACTATACAATTAACAGCATCGACGATCAAGGAATCGATAATCCGTAAGTATAACCCTTTCCCATCTACTAGGGTTATATCTATAAAGAGATTGCACATGGCAGAAAGTCCTCTGCCTTTGATATGAAATACTCTCCAGTGAGCGAAAAGGGAAAGGGGCTTTAGGGCTGCGATTCACGGGTACAGAATGCTGTAGAAAAAGTTGTCGTAAAATGTTCAGAATTTCAGTGATCAACGAATAACGCAGGATGTCGAGAAAATGTGTAATGTGCTGGCAACGAAGCTTACTCCATCATTACTTGTAGCACCGTTCGTCATCGCCTTCTATACGTTCAAAACGTGGCAGACGTACGTTCATCTCGGATCCTCGCTCTTTTGCATCTTTCTGGTACTGTTCGGCTTGGAAGAGGCATTTTAAACTTTCGCTAAATCCTTCCTAGTTCCTGTTGAACTTCAGTGTGATATGTAGACTCTTGTCAAGTGTGAACGAAGTCTGTCTTATTGCACGGTTCACAAGAATTAACAGGCCTCCCCAGGAGGCACCGGCAGTGATCGACTTGAACCAGCAAAATGCCCCCACCAAGCCAGACTGGGCCTTCTCTTGGACTCTACATACATAATCTTCCTTCAGTAGTAAGGCTCACTACCTAGAGTTCCTCCCTTTGCAAGGGCTCAGGTAAGCGTCCACTGCGGAATATCACCTGATTCTCTTAGCGGACCTAACCCACTTACATGGGTGTCGGTCAGAAGATCCATGGTGGCTAGCTGCGTAGAAACCAGGTCACCGAATAGTTCTACGGAGAAGCTCAACATGTAGCCGGTCTCTTCAACCCCATCAAATTTCTGTTTTTCTCAGCGCTCTCACGTCTGCATGACTTCCAATAATATCTGTGTTACCTTTGCAGCTTTTCACGCACGATAAGTGGCTCATCCAATCCGGAGTCCTCTCTCCCTGGAAAAGCTTCCTTTACTTTCTCTCGCTCTAACCTTTCACTCCAGGTCCCAAGATAAGATTCAGTTGTCACGTAACCCACCGCATACACAGCGCAATGACTCGCCTCCACTGCAGTTCATGTTGACCACAAGCGGAATACTAGCGGCCGCAAAGTGGACCTCCTGAACGGTACCCAGAGATTTCTCTGTTCCTTGAAGACGGCTGAGGAGCTTGGGCGCTACCAAATGGCCCCATTGACACACAATCTCCACCCTCGTAAGGTAGCGGTGATTGTGAGATAGACCTGTGTGAGACCATTATGCACTACTCATTGGTGCCCTTTTCAGAGCTGGTGGATTCGGCGTAGGCTTTATTTACGTGTACTTTATCCTTGGAGCTGTATTGAATCGTATCCTTATATCGCCTCTTACAAAGTGGGCAGCCAGAGTGGAAAAAGCAGAAGGTGACTTTCGGTAAGGAAATCTTCTTTTATTACAGAGTATAATCCCAGTTGGTTATTCTCCTGGAATTTAAGGTTCAAGCACGTCTCAGTACGCAATCACGCCGAGGAAAGCGCATTCTATCGAGCAGCCGAGTTTGAGAAAAACTCTTCAGATGAGATATTCTCCGTGTTATGGAAGACTCAGAGAAAACTTGTGCTGTGGCAATTTCCAACACCAAGGTTGGGAAATTAGTCAAAATCACAATCCACGTCGATCATTCGAGTGGAGTCAAACGTACCACTGTGCATTCCTCATTGGCGCGCGTGCCCTCTTTCCCGCATCTGATGTGTAAGACCTTGATGTTGGTGTGGCTTTATACGACAGTGGAATGTTTTCCCTGATGGTCCGTGGTAGAGAACAAGACATGTGAGTCCCCGCGGGTAAGTTGCAGGATGCTGGGGAATGTGGACGTACCGACTTGCATGGTGGGGTGGGTCAGGGAAGCGGGTTTGGTGCGGCGCCAGAGGTTTACAACTTATTGTCACTTTACCCTCCTCGATTATTGGAGGAGAACCTGCTGGTGGTGCGTCAAGCCGAGCCTCAGGCGAGAATGCGCCTATGCTGCCTAATCCAACATCGAGGAATCACAATCACATGTCATAACCGTAGCAAGTACCGTTGTTACTCGTGCTACCTGAGAAGGCGTAGGTTCTGGGCGTATCCCAGAACAACAGAAGGAAAAGAGAAAACGTATCCTGCATACCGGAGAGCGAGAAGGGGCGTTCCAGCGATGGCTCCATATTCCCATGCGAACTCTCCTCTCTTATATGGATCTCTCTCCCGGCTCTCTCCCTCCTTCCCTCTCTCTCTCTCATTGTTTTGTTGGCCCTCAAATACAGACTGTCAACAGATTGGCCTGAACTGCCGGCCACTGTATTCTCCTTTGCCGCTTCATCCTTCAGACGCTGGTTTTTCAGTGCTTCTATATATTTCCTCTCGACTCTATGGTGGGAGTGTGTCTATGTATCCAGTATCCGACTCAATTCAACGACAACGATCCATCAAGCCCGTCGCTGCGAAAACAATCAGCGTCAAGTGTGGTGATTAGTCTCTTTTGCTAAAGTGGTTTTAGCCACAAAAAATTCGAGGAGCTGATGAAGTTAGATTTGAACGAAAGGAGGGCGCGTACTCATCTGAAAGATGAAACTACTGACTACACGGGCTGGCCTAGAAGTCGTCTGGTATGCCTTACTCCACCCACGTTGCTACCACTATTACGGCTGGAAGCCAAGTGTATCTCAAAAGGTTGATTAAAATAGCTTGATCCTCCTTAACCTTCACATGAGTTGTCCATGATTGTATTGTCTTGGAGTTTTTATGGTTCCCTTCTGATTTGGGAGACGGTAAAGAAGGATTCTAATTCGCCGCAACCACGCGCAGCGATGGGCGCAGCGTTTTCGATGGCTACTTTTTAACCTGTCAAATGGAGCCACCGAACTTCATGTAGACCCCGTCATCGTAGGCAGTCATTACTGCTTTCGGTCCTTAATTGCATTTTGTCGCCATCTACTACCTGGAACCATCGTCCTTTGCAGACTAGACGTCGCACGCGACGCCCAGCAGCGCGGCGAATTACGATCCTGCTTGCTCACATAACCCTTTTGATTACGATCGCCCCCATGACCCATACTGAACGTTGTTTTGCATCGTCAGAATGCTTTCTACTTACGATTATATCTAATAAATCAGCTTCACGGACGACGTTACGGACTTAGCGGTTGAATAATCGCGAGAACTCGGTGGATTACGTTCTGAGGTTTCGCCCAATAACAGCGACCTGGTTCATGCCGGTGTGGTGGGAGTGGAATGGGTCCGCAGCATGCAGCAGGTGCTGCCTCTTGCGCACTGCGTCAGAAGTTGCACGGCTAGATGGTAATGATACTCGGCTGCCGTCTCCAATACTCCACCCGTGCTGCCGCACAGCCAGCCACACGCCCGACCGATAGTCAAACCCGCTATTTGTCTGCACACCCTCACTCCTGCTTGTTCTCTACCGTTCAGGGCGTCTTTCGCTGATACCTTTGCATCGACACAAGTGTTGCGCATTGAGGATAGCGCGGTCGCGAAGGTGGAGACGGCACTTCCGCGGAATGTGTAGACGACACTCTAGGTGCCACTACCCTTCAGCTCCGTTCCCGGGCACATAGAGCGGGGAAAGTGACTCACTACTGCAGCTGCCGGCCACTTCGCCTCACGTATGCTGGGCACCGTCGTAGTAGGGAAGTGTACAGCTCGTATCTGATTCCCTATGAATTCATTTAGAGTGTCCGAAATTGTGCGATGTTCTCAACGCGAACAGGGTATCGTTAATGACGCGTTTGCCACTGACCTTGTCGATGATGACGATGGAAGTGGAGATTTGGCGTTCAGCATTCGTGACCTCTCCTTCGGCAAACCCTATGATGAGGAGGAAGAGCTCGTTTCAGGTAAGGTCACGGCAAACCCAACTCTTTTCCCAGCGCAGTTCTGCTCAGTGGGGGCATTTTGATTGCTCGTCATCTATTGTCTGCGACGCCTCCTTGGAGACCTGTAAGTTTGTGGAAAGCTGTGCAATAGCGGGTCTTCGTTTACATTTGCCAACGGACCACAGGTCTCATCATGGCCACATGTGTACTTTGACAGAAAATAGCAAGAAAAACTAGCTAATGTGAGAAATGCCCCTCCTGAACCGAACTGCATCCCTTTTCATAATCACTGATTCGAACTCATTCAGATCTAAGCATTGACATTCCTTTGAATAATAGTCTAATCGTGACCGGACCCAGTGGGGCCGGGAAAACGTCTCTGCTCCGAGTTCTTGCAGAATTGTGGCCAAACAAATCAGGTTTCTTATGTTCCTTGTGGATTGTGCAGCACTAGTGTTATTAGGGTTCCTACTTTTCAGGTAGTATCAAGAGATATTTACCCAGACGTGACTATCTGTACCTACCGCAAAGGCCATATTTACCCGTGGGTCGTTTATCA